AGCGAGAGAGAGAGAGAGAGAACACAAAAAAACAAACACAAAAAAAGAGTGGCACGATGGTCGCCGCCCTGCGCGACCACTGGCAGCCCGTCTTTGCCGCCGAGCCCGTCGACGAGTCCAAGGTCGCCAATTGCGTCCACGCGCGCGCGCCGAAGGGCGAGATCCTGGACATTGGGCCCCCCGCGGAGCCGCAGATCAAGGCCTTCCTGCAGCGCGCTTCGCCGTCAGCACCAGGGCCCGACTGTTTGCCGTGCTCCGCCTGGCTCGCGCATGATGCTTCGTTGTCTCTCTTGGAGGACGTGTCCTTCTTCTTCTGCTGTGGCTAGTATTACATCCGCGACTTGAACGATTGCGCCTTCGCCTTCCTGCCGAAGGGCGACAGCGCCGTTGGCGCGCTCGCCGCAGACCGAGCACCTGAAGACACTCGCCCGGCACCGCTGCAGAACGCTGACATTAAGGCCGTCGCTGGGGCAGTCAACCACCTCATCAAGAGCGCTGTGGCAGGGCGCACCCACATAGCACAATAGGGCTTCGTTCAGAAGCGCAACTTCACCAAGCACACCGCTCGTTTCGACGCCGAGATGCGGCGCGCTGGTCTTCTCCCTGGAGCTCTTCAGGCCAAGCCCGTCTTCGCGAGCTTCGGCTTCTCTGCCGCCCTCCCGTCCCTGGGGCTGGTTTGGCTCTTCGCCGCGCTGGGTCACTTCGGGGCCCCAGCTGGCCCCGTGAACCCCTTCCGCGCGCTGTGGTGTGCGCCCAGCAGTCGCATCAAGATCGACGGCGTCAGGCACGCCATGTTCGCCATAGAGTCTGGAGTTGCGCAGGGTTGCCCTGCTTCGGGCTCGACATGGGCCATCGCCATGGACCCGCTCATCCGCCGCCTCGCCGCGTTCGTGGAGTACCGCGACGGCGCGCCGAATCTGGACGCTGGCTACATCGGTGCCTGCGCGGACGACATCGGGCTGCTGGCATACTCCTTCGACGCGCTGCGCCGCGCATCTGAGCCCTTTGCTGCGGCCGGGGAGCTTGCGCTCCTTTCGCAAAAGCATCGCACATGTTTCATCGTTCCGTTCTGGGCCGCGGCGGCCCCAGTCACCATTGCCCAAGCCGCGTCATTTTTGGCCGAGCTCTGGACTTCCTGGGGTGGTTTCTCGGTTGCGGGCTGCGCCGCATATCTTGCCACGTTCCTCTGCCCCGAGGCCTCGCTGGCTGCGCAGTGGCTTGCGCCGGGGCAAACATGGTGGCAGCGGGGAACTCGTCCTCACCTAGTGCATGGTGGCAGTGATGCCACAGTTCGCTTGTCCATTACCTCAATCTTGTAGCTATGTTGCCCAGTTATTCCCGCTTCAGCCGCTGATCGCTCGCCGTGAACTGCATGTGTTCCATGCGATGCTTAGCCCCCCCCCCCCGAACTCACTTCGCAACGTTGGCTTCATAGCCATGGCGTGGTGGGGCCCACCGCCCGCCCCACAGTCCGCCCAAGACATTTCTGTCGCTGCCGCTGCCCGTTCTGCTGCCGTCGCTCTCGCGGGTGACTGGGGGCCGTTTGCCGAGCGCCTCGCTGGCGCATCATGGGGGGAACCACCCTGCAGAACGCTCCTCGCTGGCAGGCTGGCGAGTGGTCGCCCGCTTTCTGGTCGTCTCAGCTGTCTACCGTGCAGAACTATCGCTCCCTCATCGGGACCCAGCCTCAGAAGCCGCTTTCCCGCCCAGCAGTCACAGCCGCCTTGCGCGCCGCGCGCCTCTAACTGCGCGATGCTGCAGCTGCTGTCCCACCACGTCGCCCGAAATGCCAGCGAACGTTCGCGCGCAAGCTTGCTGAGCAAGCTTCGCTTCGCCATTTTCCGTCACTCTGCGCGAACGCATCTCGGCGCGGGGCTTCCAGGCGCCGTCGGGGCCAGGAAAGCTCCAAAAGCGCTGGGCAGACCTCGCGGAATCGCTCAAAACGGTGCGCCCCAGCTGGCGATGGGCCACCTTTACGACACTAAGCGGTGGCTGGACCACCATTGGACGTACGCACGTGCTCGCCCCAAAACGATGCGTTTTCGGGTGCGGGAGTCAACCGGATTTATTTCCCCACTTCCTCACTGGCCCCTCGCTTTCGAGCCTCCTCAGGTCCCCTGATCCTCCCCTCCTCCGCTCGACACTCGCTGCCTGTGGCCTCGGGCCCGCGGTTGCGGGCCCGCCCGAGAGTCAGGATCCGTTCTCGTTGCGCTCGACGATTGAGCGCATAACGGTAGCGTTTCACAGTTATAACAAAATTAAGCATCACACTGGCCCAAGCTCCCGCCCTGCGGCGATGGCCGCAGCGAGCCGAGCCGCCAACGCATTACTTGACATGTGAGAGAATTAGCGACGGGCGCCGCGGACGATCATCATTTGCCCTCGTCTCGCGTCGTACCCGCTTGCCCTCGTCTCGTCTCTTTCAGGGTACCTTAACTCCTGCCTCTTTCTCTCTCCTCTCCTCTCCTCTCCACTCCTCTCTCCTCTCCTCTCCTCTCCT